CTGTTTTGGCCCGTGGTAGAATGCCTGCTGGGTCCATTTTAATCCCAGTATCAGTAGTTTCTAAAGCTGTCTCGCTACAAGTCTAACTTGGGTTCTAGAATCCATCAGCATGCACAACAACAAAAAAGGCTTAATTAGTCACAGGGTATATAAGTAACCCCATTGCGTTCTTTGGAGTCTTATATTTATCCTATATTCATGTTGGGTGATACCTGCATGAAAAAGAAAAGCATTTGCTGAGGTCAGTTCCGTCAAGGGATGAGCCAAGCCAACTGCACACGGGCTCCCCGCTGGCACTGAGGGGCCTGTACCTTGTCATGATGGAGCTGGCCCATGGCCTCCACCTGAGCGTTTCATATTCTCACCTCCCTCAGACGTGATGGACTCCCTTTTAGGACCCAGCTGGACCCCAGTTCTTGACCCGTCTCAATTCTCCAAGTACCAGGGGAGGAAGGAAAGCCAGTGTGGGTTGGACAGTGGTCAGGGTGGGGCTCCGGGCTGGCTGTCCTGTCTGTCTGCGATTCTTCTGTCAGCCACTCCAGCGAGGCATCCAATATCCCCAAGACCTCGCTGCCTTACGCTTTTACTCTGATGATCCCCAAGCCATAATTCTCTCCATCACTTGGATTTTCCTAATTATTTCTCAAGAAACATGGAACCGTACTATTTTTTTTTTACCCAGTAAATATCATGCGATTTATTTCTTGCTTTTTACCAAGAAGAATTTAAGGCGATTTTTGAAATAGCCCACACCGTATGAAGACAGCATACATTACAAATGGGTGAGGGAGACAGAACAAAGTGGAAGGGAGGCCCAGGCCCGGGGAGACGGAAGCAGCGGAGTTCCCGCGCCTTACCGACCCCAGCCCCTCTGCCTCAGGGGATGCCCCGGTTTCCGCCAAAGCCACGCCCCATCGCGGCTCCTGTCGGGCCAATGAGAATGCGGCCAGGTCGCATTAAGGATGGGCCAGGTCTCACTTTGGATTTCTCGAAACCCGTGCATTTTACTGTGTAGGAAAAGAGTACAGCTGACTTTAGTTTTAGAAAACAAACGCCGATAAAATACATAAACTTATTCAGCACGTATTTTTGTCTTAGGTTGTGCCAGACGCCCATCATTTTGGTTAACTGTCTAACAGAGGTAGTTGTGCGTTGTCACTTGTAAATGCGGGAAGAGGACATTGGAAGAGGGGCACTGACCTACCTGAGGCCCCCAAGCCAGGAACTGTATGGAGCTGGGCCGTGGTTCATGTCTTCTGATCCCCAGCGGGTGTTGACAATTCATGGGGCTATGTGCTCTAATTAGAAGTATGTGTAAACTACAGTTTGCTCATTGAACTCATTTACTCGTGGTCTGCTGACACAGCCCTCATTTCTAACTAATTTATAATAGTGGCATGTGGGGGTGGTGGCTGCCTTATCAGCAGTGAGAAGCAGAAGCTGCCAGCAAGTGGGGAGAGACCAGCCATTCCCGCCAGATGATCACCACAGGTTAGTCCCCTCAGCAAACAGCCCCACACCCTCATTAGCTCCAGAGGGTCTCCACCTTAACAGAGCCCAGCACAATTATGATACTTGTTAAGATGACCCTGCATTGTCAAGAACAGCTTAAATTATATTTTGTGTATTCTACTTATGAAGGCAGTGGAGATCTTTATTTTAAGATTTCCGTTTGAACTTGTTTGACCATTAAAAGGGAGGCAGCATTACATTATTTGGAAATGTGTGTAACCAAACCCAACATGTGCCACCCCATGTTGCCCCAGTTGAGTTAACATACACAGACAGAAGTGAGAGGAGTGGGACGTGAAATTGTCTCGGTGAACCAGAAACCGGATAGGAGAAGCAAAGAAACAGTGTAAATTTAGAGTCACATGAACTGAAATAGATCTCGTATAGAATCATATCATCTACTAAATTTGTCTTTTGCATTTACTTACGTGGGGAAGTGAGAACTTGTTCATTTCTGCCTTTGAAGCAAAAGTGGGAACTAAACAAGCATGTTTTAGATTTTTAAAAAATATGTATTCTATAAAGGGTCTTATTTTTGCATTTATATTCTAGAGAGAATTGTGTCCAGGTTTTTGTCTGTCTACAAACATGCAATGAGCTATACTGTCCATTTAACACAAAAACAAGTAACTAGCTAAATTTACCTGTGCTACATTGAAAAATCAAATGGGTGTGTCTAAAAGTGTATAAAAATTGAGGACGTGGGGAATATTTTTTAGTTGCTTTTTTTCTGAGTTTTTTAAAATTAGAAAAGAGACTTGTAAAAATTGTAATGGATGGCATTTAAAAGTTACTTTGAACATGAAGAAATGAAATGTTTATTTACATCTTAAGGCATATATTTACTTTCTCTTGTGAGAGAGAAAATACTAGATATTTTTCAATGTTTCTGAAAAAAAGTTTTGGATATGGAATAGATGTATAAAATTTTGTTCTGAATCAAACTTTTTCTTTCTTATCTAACATAAGAAAGCAGTCTGGAAGCCACTGGCTTTGAAACCATGGAACTGTTCACTGGTCTAAACATGCATCCTGTTCTGTTGATTAAAGATAAGAGGACAAGGAGAGACAGAAAAATATATCCTCCTCCTGCAAATTCAGTGGTGTTTCCACAATAATAGGCCTGCATCATGTTCTTCCACTCTTCCCTCTCTACGTGTTTATTCACTGATGCTTATGTTTGAGCCGTTATGTAAATCCATCTGTATAACAATCTTGCCTTTCTCTGGACTCCCTCCCTTGCGTCCCAGGTGCGACAGCCATGAGAGGGTACCTTGTGGCCATATTCCTGAGTGCTATCTTCCTCTACTATGTGCTGCATTGTATATCATGGGGAACAAGTGTCTATTGGTAAGTTTCATTTTGGCTGTTTAAATACAACTCCCAAGCTAATTATTTCTTGACACTCAAATGTTTAGAGGGACCTGTAAAAAACCCCTGTGACATTTTGAACCCTCTCTAGCTTTCCATTATAAATTGGAGTTTTACCATTCCAGTATCTCGTACATTGTATCTCTAACAGTTTAAAAACTAAGGCGGGGCTTACCCCGTGGCCCAGTGGTTAAGTTCGAGTGCCCCATTTCTTCCCGCGCTCCACTTCGGCGGCTCAGGGTTTCATTGGTTTGGATCCTGGGCACAGACATGGCACCGCTCATCAGGCCATGCTGAGGCGGCATCCCACATGCCACAACTAGAAGGACCCACAACTAAAATCTACAACTGTGTACTGGAGGGATTTGGGGAGAAAAAGCAGGAAAAAAAAGAAGATTGACAACAGTTATAGCTCAGTTGCCACCCTTTAAAAAAAAAAACTAAGAAGCAACACCCTCTTTTTACTGACTTCAGGGAAGCAGTGATGTTGACCATCTTTGGGACATAACATTCTTTATATAATATCTCATCTCCTTGAATTAATGGAGTAATTCTTGGACTCAGTGGGACTTGACTTTTAGAACTTAAGATATTTGGATAAGAGATTGTTGATAAAATTTAGACACTCCAAGTAGTTTCCTTTGTTTAAAACTTTTGGTGAATGATGATATATGTACCTTTTCAAACAACTTTGGCTTGAAATGTCACATATAAAACTTTGAAGAGGCACAGATAGTTTATTGCAAAGAAAACTTTTATAATACGCTTTTTATCCTTTTTCTTACTGTTGGTCTTCTGGTAAGGAATGAAGCTTTGATCACCTTTAAATCCTGGCTGGCTGGTAGTTTATAATTAAATCAAAATAAGTCACATGACAACTTCCTGTGTTGGGCAGAAGTTCAGTACTCTCTGCCAGTGTTCCAATAGTAGGTTCTAGATCCTCTTTCTAGCTTTTGTTTACTAGATAAAAAAAGAACTTGATGCCTCTGCATTTAATTTCATCACTGGTTGATTAAAAAATAATTGTAGTGTTCTTCATGGGAGGGACACATTACTTGAGTCACAGAAAGTACCATGAGGAACTACTTTGATGGGTGTGTATGCTGTGAACTTGCTGCCTTAAAAACTATTTGACAGATAATTGTCTTTTTTTAAAAAGCCACCCAAAGTTTGTCGTCACACTCTCCCAAAACAGCTTTCTATATTCTTAATAACCTTAGAAATCAAGTAATATCTTATACTTCCTTTTGTCCTCTGAATATAATTTAGTTTTTATGGCCTGATGTGCTTGTCCATCATATTTATGTATCTTCCTTACAGATAAATCAAGAGATTTTTGTTTGTGGTGTTCACAAAAGATGTTTCTCTGCATAAGAACTTTATTAGCCCCATAGTTCAGAAACCTGGTTGTTCTAACTACAGGGGTTTTGTACCAAAAATCACTGTGAGTTGAGTCTATCCATGAAGAGTTTGAGCTATTTCTTTCGTTTGAATCCTGTGAATCATAGACGAAAATTGATTAGTTTCCGTTTTAGATTAATTCTTCACATTGGTGATGGCCATTAATACATTCTCGGATGTTAAGCTCTTTCCTCTTTCCGGGCAAAGTCAGCCTCCCACCCCGGCCTCTTCGATTAGTGTCATTGTGCGCTGTCTTGTCACAATACCCTTTTAAACTGTGGAGACACTGCTCCATTCAGGAGGCCCCAGCCGGACCTGTGCCACGAAGAGAGGAGCCTGGGCTCTGACTCTTGCGCAGTGATGGGTGGAGCCGGTCACAGGCCCCGCGCTGTGGAAGCTGCTGCGTCGGTGTTTCCACGCTGTCGCCGGCAGGGGTCCCAGACGTGGCACAGGACGTCGAGCCCTTGGGAGCCCTGTGCCCTGGGGGTAGGGTCTCCACGCTTTGGGGACTCCTGAAGCGGGCCTGGCCGCGGCTTCCACGGCCGTGCAGGAGCCTGGCCCTTCTCCAGGGCCCTTGGATTCAGGGTTTTTGGAAGCCCTCTGGGTCGCCTGTCCCAGCAGCCTCTTGGGCTCCCTCGTTGGCATCCCGGCCCTCGGGCCGCAGGTGTGGGCGGGGCTGCGGGGAGGACCGTCCTGACCGCCTGCTTGTCTGGCAGGGCGCGTCCCGTGGAGATGCAGCCGAGGAAACGCAGCCAGCCGTGCCGCGAGAAGCCGGCCTTCGCCTCGCTCCTCAGGTAAGCCAGCCCAGAAGCCGTGGCGGCCGGCAGGTGTTCGCCGCCCGTCCACACCTGGTCGCCTCCCGGGCACCCGCTGAGCGGGGGGCGGTGCACAGCGCCTCGGGCATCGTCAGGAGGCGGGGAGGGGTCCCGGGGGCAAGACGGGGGGCGGGGGGGTGGGTGGTGGTCAGGAAGAGGGCGCCTCTCCCTAGACGTTCGTGCCCCCTGTTGTTCACGTGCTGTTCTCCACCCTATTATTTCGTGGCGGCTTCTCCCTGGCCTCTGAGCTAAACGTTATGGGTCCAAGTGTTTCCTGACTTTCGCTGACTTTCACCGACTACGTACTCATCTGCATAAGGAAATGCTGACTGCTCCTTAGGGCCGTCAGAACTCGCAGAGAATTTGCTCTGCCACCCACACATGTTCTTTTCCTCCGTCACCTAGACTTTGACAGATTGCTGGTCAAAATGCCTCTAGATTAATAGAAATAAGTGACGGTCAGGTCTGGGCGTGTTTGATTGTGTAAAACAGGCACAAGCTTTTCAGCGTTTTACCCATTAAGGATCAAAAATTTGCGTTTCCTTTTCTTCTTCTTTTCTTTTCTAATGTTACTGTCCCTGTCCGTTACTGGTTCTTAACTTTTTGGGGCCAGAGCTCCCTTTAAAGTCAACCACTGCTCGGCGTGAACTCTCTGCGTGTGGTTACAGGTGTGCCACGGCTGTGGGGGGGGGGGGGGCGGGGGGGGGGGCGGCAGTTCATAGGACCACTGCAAAGTGGGAGAGTGGTTTTAAACTTTTTTGAAGTTAGTAAGAAACACATTTTTCTATGGAACCTAGTATACACCCATATTTATAATAAGAAAAGAAAGAAAGAGTTTTCACCCTTCCTGCTCCAGATACCCTGTATTCTGTTCTATTCACTCTTTAAAAATAAATAAAAATCATGAGTCACAAAATTGATCTCACGAGCCACCTGTGGGTTTCGCCTACAGGTTTAAATCCTGTTCTAGAATTGAGGTGCTCTTCAACATTAGTGAAGAGAGATAGTTCCTTTCTGAGAAACCCTAAAAATTAGAGTATTTACGCGAGATTGCTCAGCATGCGTGTAAGTCTGGTCTAAGGACAGTCGCCTCGCGTTTGTCGTGGGAACACTGTTCCCAGGGGCCAATGCTGCCCCTCTGCCGGCTGCCTCAGGAGAAGCTGGGCTGGGAGGCTGCGCTTGGAGGTCTTCCTGAGGCTGTGGGGGACACCTCTCCTTGGCGTTAAGCTTGGGCGTGGCTTTCCTCTTGGTCAGGTAGGGGTTAGTGACCCCAGAGAATGCCGTAGTTCCTTCACTTCTCATAGCTTCAGTGCCTCTGTCTACATTGATTCATAGGCTTTACCTACCTTTCCAGGCTTTGGGAGGGGGAACAACAGCAGAAATGTGCTGTCATATGATGCATTATAATGTCATATAAGACAACGCCATCTAACACAATGCACTGGGTCATTATTACAGATAAGCCCAATACTTACTGAGCCCTACTGTGTGTGAGACATGGTGCTAAACAGTTATTTCACTTAGAAATACAATGTAAGTCGCCTCACACAAAGTCTGCCTGGCAGTAGACATTAATCCTTACTCACCATTGTCACCCCCACACTCCACAGACCAGCATCCTTTGTCACCTTGCCCTCAGGGTGCAGAGGGATCTGTGGGTCACTTTCCCAAGGAAGAGCTGGAGAGATTCTTGAGTGTGCCTGAGTGGGACAGGGGCATCCTTCAGGCAGAGAAGGCAATAGGAAAAAGCAGGCAGTTCTCGTTCTTGAGTAAATATTAATCTAATGACTTCAGGAGAGAGTTTGGTTCTAGCTGCATCCACCTTTTCAAGCTTTTTTTTTTTTTTTTGGTGAGGAAGACTAGCCCTAAGCTAACATCTGTTCCAGTCTTCCTCTATTTTGTGTGTAGAATGCCTCCACAGCATGGCCACTGATGAGTGGAGTAGGTCCATGCCCAGGATCCTAACCCATGAACATGGGCCACTGAAGCAGAGTGTGCACAACTTGAACCCTTGTCCATGGGGCCAGCTCCCTCATGTTTTTTTATTTTCACGGCTGACACAAATTTATACATATGGTACTTTTTAATTTGGGATTGGGAAAATAAATACTTTTATTTTCCCTTGTTACTTCCTTTGTTTCTTCCCTTAGATAGCTAACATTTTATCACTTGATGTTAATTTGTTTTTAAAACTTCGTTCCCTCCTCGCTGGTCCCCCGAAGCAGTAACATAGTTTTGGTTCCATGACCTGGAAGGTGTTTCCATTCCAATTGTGAGTTCCATTGCAAATATCATTCCATGAAATGTTGAAATACTGTTTAAGATGATTTTTAAAGAATTTTAAAAATAATTATACATTCATATATAGTCAATATAGCAGTATGAGTGATATACTACACTTATTTTCAGTTGTGACTTTCAAAGCCTGCAAATATTGTGGGCATTTGGCAAAATCATTCTTTATCCTTTTCTTCCAGATTTCATGAGTTTCATCCTTTTCTGTGTGCATCCGATTTTAAAAAGATTGCTTCCTTGTATGGTGGCGATAAGTTTAGTTTGCCCTATGGGATAAAAGCTTCAGGTCAGTCATATTCTTCTTACTCTGCCCTAGAAATATGAGTGCTGTTTGATGTGAACCACGTTTATATAATTTCAAGGCCTTTTAGTCTTTCTGCTTCATAATGATTCCTAAAGAGTATGATTTGGGGATGGGATGAAGGGAATTAAGTTTTAATATACTAATCCCCATTCCTTTTGAGACAGTGTGGAATAAAAGAATAAAAGTGGTAGACTTTTTGTTGTTGTTGAGAAATTGCTTTTTACTTCTGTTTTGCCTCCACCTTCTTTATGAGTTCTCATGTCTTACTTGATTCTGATTTAGAGTTAGCAGGGTAACCCTGTGGGTTAACTTCCTCCCTATCTCCCATTGCACCTGTTTACCTGGGAGTTTTGCTTTATCTTATTTTATCAGCAAGTTCTAGCTCCTTGATCAGTCCTTTAATCAGTGGATATTCTATTTTTGGTAAATTTAGCGAGAATTACTCCATCTGCGTCATTAGTGAATGAGGTAACGCTTTCCCCTCTGCTCGTTGACACCTGATTGACCTTGCACAGCTTTATGTCCTAGATTTTTGAGAGACGCTAAAAGCCCAGGAAGTGACAAGCCTAAAGTTTTCTGAGTTAGATGTTGCCTATTCAACTGATCCTGTGTGTGTGTTTTAAAAATGTTTCAGAGAATTTGATCATTTAATAGGCTTAACTTGCTGAATATTGATATCTGTACTAACGTCAATTTCAGAATCATCTGATATTGCTCATTTTTAGTTACTTTTTTATGAATGTTTTCAGATGAAGCATCTTATTTTTATGGGGTTTTGGGAAAGTTTTCTTGGAGCATTTATCACTTTGAGTGTGCCTACTGAGCCGCACTGGCTAATTGCAGTGGTATCATTGATTTTCACCCCAGAATAAATCACAGTGGCCATACCAGTTGGAAATGGGTTTGGGGGAGGGGAGAGGACACAGTGTGACTTGCTGTGTACCTAAGAAGCCACGATTCCTTTGATTCCTAATTCTCCTTTTGTTTTCTAGAGGAACCTTTTCGACTTGCTCTGTCAGCGCTGCAGAGTTGTGATCTCTTTGACGAGTTTGACACGTGAGTTTATTTCCTTGCTTCTGTTTGACTTTTAGTTTTAGCTACAGTGGTTCAAAATATACACCCTAAGGTATAGAACATATATTTATTCAGGAAAATTCTGTAGCATTTGTGCATAACTAAAACGTCTAGTATTTATTTCTATGACACTTGAAATAAACAAACTACAAAATTAATTTAGAAGCTGAAGAATTGATTGGCTCAAAGTTTGCAGAATCTTGATGGTGAACAATGCTAGTCCTAAGTCAGGACATTTTTACCCCACATTCATCTTTCCTAAGTTGTTGTTCTGAAGAATTAATTCACACCCGGTAGTCGGCTCAGCCTCCCTCCGCAGATGTTTCCCACCCCTCGCACACATCTGCTAAACTGCTCCTGCCCTCTCCGTCTCAGTTGTGAAGAAGGTGGAGTGTTTGATTTCAGAAGCAGCTCTCTTCCTTTTATTCAGGATTATATTTGAGAGGGAAGTAAACAGCTTGCTTAGATATACATTTTCTGACTATAAAAGGTAATTTTGTTTTTAGAAAATGTTGGTGTCAAGTTAACTCCTGGGAAGTGAATTGCCAAAGACAGACTTCTCGGCAGGTAGACTTGTTTTACAGAAGTACACTTACTTCACGAAGCTTCAGGCTACACTTTAGAGTGTGGTTGATGGTCCAGTGGGTTGGAATGCGTCGTCTATAGCTATCAAGCCTCCGTTAAAGGAAAATGGCGGAATTTGCCCTCTTGCCCAGGCGAGCAGAGGTGCCGTTTGGCGGGTGCAGAGATGAGGGCAGCGGACAGAGACGTGAACGTGGAGCTAGAGTTTACAGAACAGAACTGGAGGAGTAGTACCAGATTTTGTCCAAGTTTATCTTATTTTTCCCAGATTACTGAAGTGTGGATTATGTAATATACGTCAGTTCATTTCAGTTTGTACTTGTTATAATTTTAAATTATGCCATCAGATTAATCAATTTCAATTTTTGATTGCTTATCAACAGCAACCATATATATTCTTTTCTAACCTAAAGTTTATATAGCTCTCATTTGTAGAATATTATTTTGTGCAGACCTTTTGCATATGTGCTTTATGTCAGTTCTCCCTGGTTTTTACAACCACCCTGCAGAGTCTGCTTGATGATCTCCATTTGGTAAACGCAGACACTGAGGCTGGGCAAACATACCGAGTTGGTTATAGCTAGTAAATGCCAGAGCCAGGACGAGAACCTGGACAGGGCCGTCCAGTGCTTGGATGTCTGACTTGAGTGATAATCATTATACCTCAAATATTTGCAGCAAGTGTCTGAAACATTTCGAAAGATCTTTGGCCCTGTAAATTTGAGCTATTGTCAGGATTCCTGAGGGTATGTGACTAGAAGTGTTGTTTTCCCTGGTTTTTCTCTTAGAACTAGACTGCGCTTCATGTCGTTGCTTTCAGAACCGTGTCTCGCACAGGCCTTCCTCGTGTGTCCCTCAGCCAGGGTGTTTCCTCTCTTCTTGCTGCTCCCTGCCCATTGCCGCTGTCACTGAGAGTGCCCCCTACTCACACTGTCAACCCTCGCCAGGTCTTAGCGTCAGCTGTATTGGCGGGGGGTGGTGGGGAGAGAGTGAAAATCATGCTGATCGCACAAGAGTCCTTTAGTCTGAAGTTGTCAAGAGACTGACGTGGAGGCAGCGTGTGGTCAGAGACTTCAGATGCAGAGTGATGGAAACCATCCTTGTAGGTCCCCTTGGAGTGCACGCAGTGAGGCCCAAGTTAGTGACATCACAGGTGGTCAGCATTGGCGAACTGCTGGTTGGACGTGTGCAGACCTGTTCCCTACAGACTCCACAAAGAGTATTTTGAAGTAGATAAGAATCTACTTATAACACTATTATATTCTGTTTGCATATTGACTTTTTGGATGGTTTACTTGTAATAATTAGTTTTATCTATATTTTAAGTAAGTCATTCTGCATTTGCCTGGAACCCACCGTATAACACAAAGAAAATAACAGGCTGGCCTATGCGTGAGCAATACATTTTAAATAAACTCCAGAAAGGCAAAAGGTACTAACCTGCTTTAATTGCTGCCTGAGTCAGTCAGCTCAGTCTGTCCCCCAAGTGACCTCATACATTGCTCCCTTCTCCTCTCGGCCTGGGAAAAGTGCTCCAGAAGAAAGCGGTCTGAGGAAGGTCTCTCTCAGGCCGAGGGATTGCACTGCCCTTGGCGGGGGGTCCTCCCCTGAGCCCCGGCCTGTGGATTCGGGAGCTGGCCTGGGTGTGCAAGGAGGGAGCCTCGTTGGCGTGGGCTTGCTTGCTCTTTGCGCTGGGCTGCAGGTCAGCGGAGGGGCTGAGGTGAGGTCCACCTTTCAAGTCCCTTCCCCCATTGCTGCTCAGTCACCCATATCCAGCAGCCGCTGGCCTTGGTCTGGGCTCTTTCTTCCTCTGTGCTCTGCAGGATGCTGGGCATGAGGTCGGGTGCAGCGGCTGAGCACAGGCCTGCTCCCCACCTTTATTCCCCTCTCTCCTCTTTGTCCCTTCCAGAAAGGTTCAGATTTTCTTATTGTTGCTTCAAATCTGAATCCTTTAAGATCCTACCAGCTATAAATCCTAGTTTTGTTCAGACGTCTTATTCAGCATGCATGGTGCCCTCTGCTGGGATAGGTTCCACTGTGAATGGGAAAACTGAAAATCTCAGTTTCGTTGACAAGATGGAGGTTTCCTTCTTTCTCACAGTTGTCACATAAGTGACGTCAGCAGGGAAACATTCCCGGGCTGGCCCAACAGCTGTGATCATCATCGGGGGCCAAGGCTTCTCCATGGTGACTGCCATTCCTTAATGCTCAGCTTCCTCCATGTGGTCCAGTATGATGACTGGATTTCCATCAATCCTATTGATATTCTAGCCAGCAGGGAGTGGAGGGGGGTGGGCATGCCCCCACCCTTTAAGACTTGCCTCCTCCTTTAAGGGCATTTCCCAGAAATCACATGTCTGACAAGTATACCACAGAGGGGCAGAAGCCAATCGGTACCAGCTAGTGAGAGCTGCCGCTTTTCCCAAGTCCATGTTCAGTGCCATCAAGGTGTAAGCCTGAAATTAGCTGTGGTGGGAGTACTGATACCATGGAAACTGGCAAACATCACAAACCAAGGTCCCCCCCATCACCCGCACCCCAAGAGAGCTGGTTGTTAAACATTGGCTAGCAACCACTGATTGTATCCTGTTGGCTAGGGGTCTAATCACAAGGCACACCCAGCTGGAAGGTGGATGGGACAATGTAGCCTTTATCCCACACAGCTGTGTGCCCACCTTTAAAAAAAACACTCCTGGGGCCGGCCCATGGCTGAGTGGTTGAGTTGGTGCACTCCACTTTGGCGGCCTAGGGTTTCGCTGGTTCGGATCCTGAGTGCAGACATGGCACTGCTCACCAGGCCACGCTGAGGCGGCGTCCCACATGCCACAACTAGAAGAACCTACAACTGAAATATACAACTATGTACTGGGGGACTTTGGGGAGAAAAAGCAGAAAAGAAAAAAAAGAAGATTGGCAACAGTTGTTAGCTCAGGTGTCAATCTTAAAAAAAAAAAAGTCCTATTTTAAGGGACGAAGGAAACATGACCATTGAGGGGCAACCAGCAGCGTTCATCAGTGTCCCCACCACGTCCCTGGCCCCAGCTGTGTCTGCCTGGTAACCTTCAGGATCCTGCAGTGGGTGGTGTAACCCTGCACCAGCCTGGCTCAGGCTCGCAGCGGCGGCCGCGGGTTCTCACTCGGAGAGCGGACACTGCTGAGGCATGTTGGTGTGCAGATCGCTTTGAAGCGGCATCTTGATGCCGTGCTTATAGGTGACGTTAGTGAAGTGACTCCAGGACAGAGAGAGCCCTTTTCTAAGGTTAATACCGTGAAGAACTTGGGTCCGAAACACCGAGGGAAGGGAGCAGGAGTGTGCTGGACCACGTCGCTCAGTGTGAAAGAGCCCAGAGCTGCAACAAGTCCAGCCTTGCTCTTTGCTTTATCCCCCCGGCACTAACCACTCCCCTCCCCAGCCAATAAATAAAGCATCTGTTCTTTTTCAGAGTCTTCGGTCCCTTAGTAATAATTATAATAACTTGCCGACATTTTTGTAATCACATGGGTTAGAAAATGTTCAGGTTATAGAAAACTGTCTTTCCCTGTAATTTTGTGACAGGAGTTCTGTCTGCTCCCTGTGAAAAGATGATACCAAGTGATAGGACATGTGTAGGACCTGTTTTATCTCATTATTTTATTTATTTATCTTTTTGGTGTGTGTTTTTAACAGAGGGTATAATCGTGGGTGTTTTCCTTTGTATGCTTTCTGAGCTTCTCCTGAGCACTGGCCTGCAGGTCGGGGTGGCGTAAATACTGACGCTGCTGAATTGTTCCCTCAAGAATCCCTTCATCTCAGCTAACCTGTCATGCTGTGCCATGCGGACTGAGAGCCAACCCCAGAGCAGCGCGGGGACGTCCTGGAGGTGGTCAGTGGCAGGAAGGATGGATCATCCAGTCCACCCCTCGTTTGAAAGATGAGGAAACTGAGGTCAGAGAGGTTCCAGGGCGCTTGGAGTTCAGAGGTCTCCAGACTTCCTCTGCTCTCCAGCTCCTCCTTTCCCATTTTAACCAGCAGAAAAAAGAAAGGAAAGATTCCAAAATTGAAAGTCTTAAACTGAGCATCATCTGAAGGGGGAAGGGAGAAGAGAATTCTGGAATTGTGAATTCCTTTGGATATGTTCTTTAGGATTTCCAGGATTTCTTCATTATTTAGCATAACTTATGCCTTTATCCTTGAGCTCAAACTATTTTTTAATAAGATGATCTTTAATGCTTTTACAGGGTTAAACTCAAACATCCCCAGGGTACATGTGTAAATCCATGGAAAACACACACGTTAAATAGGGGTTTTTTTCTCTTAAAGATACATGATTCTGATAGAATCTTCTCTGAACAGATACTACAGAAAAACACATTTCTCTTTCCTCAACTCTCACCCTGAAGTTGTACAGTAGATGTGCCAAGTGGCCTTGTCCCTAGTCTGCCTCTGAGCCAGCTGATGCCAAGTATGGGACAGAGGGAACGTCTCAGAGAGATGTTGACAAAGCATTTCTTTTTTGTTATTGAGGTGAAATTCACATACCATAAAAATAACCATTTTAAAGTGAGCAGTTCAGTGGCGTCTAGTGCGTTCTCGACGTTGTGCAACACCACCTCTCTCTGGTTCCAGAAGACAAACCCTTTCCCAGAGTGACTGCAGCGCCCTCGTCACACTTGGTTGCTTCCTTCCATGGTCCTCCTTTCATGGGGACACTCGGACTAGCTCTCAGACCAGGAGCTTGGCAGGAGAGCAGTCATAATAAGGATAGAAAAGGATGACCTGAAAACCAGATTTTTTTGGAGGGGAGAGGGAGTAAGAAAGCGGGGTGTGGGGAGAGGGGGAAGGGTTGGGGGGCACTTGTGAAAAAGCACTTGAGTCAGCAGGTGTGTCCTGACTGCTCTTGACCTTGGGCAAGCTTCCAAGTTTCTGAAACTTGGTTTCATGAGAAAGGCGGGGTGGAATTATCCGTGTGCATGATGCCCACATCTATTTTAATAGTTAATAGTTAAGTCAGTGTAACCTCCAGAGGAAGCTGGCTGAAGGGCATACAGGGCTTCCCAGTACTACTTCTGCAACTTCCTGTGAATCTAGAATTATTTCGAAATCGAAAGCTTAAATTGAAAACATGACCACAGAAAAACTTATACATGAATGTTCATCGCAGCATAATTCATAATAGGCCCCAAATGAAAAAACCCAAATGTGCATCAGCTGCCAGATGGATAAGCCAAATGTGTATCCAAACAATGGAATATTATTCAGCCATAAAAAGGAATGATGGACTGACACAGGCTGCAACACGGATGAAGCTTGAAAACATTATGTTCGGTGAAAGAAGCCAGACACAACAAGACCGCGTAATGTATGATTGCATGTATATGAAAAGGCCAGAATAGGCAAGCCCGTAGACACGGAGAGCACATTAGTAGTTGCCAGAGGTGGGGGAGGGAAGAATGGAGCGCGACTGCTACTGGCTTTGGGATTCCCTTGTGGGGTGATGAAAATGTTCTGAGTTAGATAGTGGCTATGGTGGCACAGCTTTGTAAATATGCTAACACCACTGAATTTTATTATTTTTTTTAAAAGGGTTAATTTTATGGCATGTGAATTCTGTTTCAATTTAAAAAATAAAAAGCTTTGAAAAAGGAGGGGGCTGAGGTGGCCTCTAAATTCCTTCCAGCCTCCCAGGCCCTCTGCTCAGAGGGCGCTGCGAGCCACGCCGAGAACAGATGGTTCGGGGTGACACAGCTCGGGTGCTCTCATCACCTTTTGTCTGCACTGCTGCTGTGGCTTTCTCAGGACTCGGGGGCCTCTCTTTATTCTCGAAGCACAGTGCACAGAAGGGGGTCATGTTCAACACGCTCCACTAATGGCGGAGGGCCCTTTCAGTGAACTGCATCCATCACAGCAAGGTGGCGTTGCCAGTGTGCCCCGTGCAGAGGCACCAGCCCTCCGGCCCCAGCTCCTGGCACCAGCCTGCGCCCTGGGCCCGGGCTTCTCCTCAGTGGGAGCATGTCAGCTGCAGCAGAACAGCAGAGACCCCAAGCACAGGATCTCGGCTCCTACTTAAAATGCACACACCGGCCCCCGCCCCAGCAGCGGGGCATCCTGAGCGCGCCTGGGCTCCGGTGCAGGGTGCCTGCGGCTGCCTGGGTGGTTATAGAGTAAACCACACGTGCACGTCTCCCAGCCCGAGCACCACGCCAAGTCAGGTGCCTGCTAAATGGACGGGGACTTGTGACTCTGCCTGGCTGCTCCCCTAGGCGGAATGCGTTATGTCAGCATGAGCAGAGCCAGGTCCAGTGGCCGCCAGCGAGGTGGGAGGGGGGCCTTAGACAACTTAAAAAGAAGAAAAGGAATTAGAGGTTAGCAGTATACTTATCAAAAAGAGCCCAGACTCTCTAAGGGTTTGCAACGTCTGCGTTGCTACTCTGGCCATCCTGCTGTCGGGCAGGGTTTCTTTACATGGCAGCAAGAGGGGAACTTGAGGCTGAGGGACATGGAGATTCTGCACAGGAAGGAGTCCTGTGTGGGGGGGAGGCAGCGGCCCCACCACGTGTTCTGTAGCAACTGCTCTGGTGAGATGCTGGGCGAAGATAAGCCTGGAAGGCATGCAGCAGAGAATAACGCTCACGGCCTGGGCCGCTCCCTCCCTGCACAGAAGAGCAGACTGAGATGGAGAGGTCCAGTAGCGGGGCCTGGGGCCCGGGGATGCTGAGTGGGGGAGCCGGAGCTAGCAGCCAGCTCTCCACCCAGTCCACTGCACAGTATTTGAAGATCTTCACTGCGAATAACAGTCTACCTGATTAAGAGTGATTTAAATAACGTCGACATCTGTGATCTCCCATATCGCGTAGGTGTGTGGTTTCAGGTCTGCAGGTCTGTGGTTCCAGCTTGCAGGGCTGCATGTGGCAGCACAGACTGGATTGCACAACTCTCCGAGTGCCAGTTCATATGGGTAGTTCTCTGAACAGCACACCTGCAGTTGGGCTGTGTACGGCCTGCACATCTACAGGGCGTGGTTCTAGTTAGGAGATTGAGTTAGTGAGTCGGTGATGTCAGCGCAGCTTGTCTGGGGCTCACTCTGTCTTTCCCTTAGTTGCAACATGGCTGCAGCTGCTCTCACCTCATGTAGTCACATGTCCACATCTAAGCAGAAAGGAAGGGTGGAAAAAAAAAAGTGTTCTGCTCAAACCATGCTCTTGGGGGGGTAAAACCTTTTCCAGAGCATCGAATAGACTTCCCTAACTTAGTGTTCAGGGTGGCTCACGTGGCCACCTCTAACCAACCTGTTGGCAGAGGATTGTGCTCCCCACATAGGTTTGTGAAAGCAGGACTCTGCGAGCGAGACTCAAGGGGTAATGTGTGCTGGGAATAGGACCAGAGTGACCTATGGTCACAGGCTACACTGAAGGACGAGTGATATATTCTAATGTATCTAATGCTGAAGAGAAAAGTGGGCGTTGGGAAGCATGCGGAAAAAGAGGATCCCAGGTCATTTGAGACCAGCACGGTTCATGCCTGCTGTCTCGATGTTGATGGTGCTGACGGTTCTCACTGCAGAGAGCAGGAACTCCCCTGGGTTTGCCTGCCTTGATGAGGAAAGTGCCTTCCCTCTGGGGAAGTGCAAGCTCTCCCGGTTCCATCTCCGCAGGGTCAGGCTCTCTGGAATGCTTTTGCTTTCCGGGGGCTGTTGGGGCAAGTGCATCCCCTACCACTTTCCATGGCAGAAGAAGGACCAGAGGGAAAGCAGGAAGACGACCCCACACTGAATGCCACCACCAGACCGAATTTCAAATGTACAGCTTGTGAATCAGGAGGTTGTAGACTGGAGGACACAGACAAGTGGTTCGGCTCCTGCCCTCCAGGGCCTCACAGCTCACCGCAGCCATTTGCGCATGGAAGTCATGGTAACTAAATACAAGGAAGTCACACAGTCACCTGATGACAGTGGAAGTTGTTGTTTGACATCTAAGGAAGAGGGGAAGCCAGGAGCCTAGGCTGGGGGAGGAAGATGCGGAGGGGGGACTCACTCCTTTGGTAATATGTGGGTGCCTGCTGGGGAGGAGTGGGCTCAGACGGTGTGTCTGTCCCATTACGTATTGCCACTGTGGATTCCAGCTGCAGATCAGATGATATTACCAAAGGGTGGTCCTAGGGTAACCCCTAAAGGAGTTTCTAGTGTTAGATCTGATCCTCAGAAACATGTGTGGGTCTTTGCAATGTCCCTCACCAGGAGGAAAGTGAAGTTTCATTGACAAGATTTCCTTTCAAAGGTGTCAGCAACCTTTTCCTCTGGCAAAGAGCCTCCTGTCCTTCTGTCTGTCCCTGCAAAGCTGGCAGAGAAGAAGATGGAAAGTGGAACTCCTAAAAATGTGGCGGCCGTTGAACTTAAAGTATCTTTGGAATTGAAGTTTTCTTGAGGCAGGCAGTATCTATATGAGTTCTTTCCATTTCTCTCAAGTCTTTGAACCTGCAGGGACCATAAGTGGGAGGAGACTGGAGAGGCTGGATATGACCTTCTCTGTAGCTCATCCTTGGGACTCCTGTGGAAGAGATACGCCTGCAGCCCTCGACTCCCCCTCTCCTCTTAGCTGGGAGGCTCAGTCGGGTCCATGAGAGGAGATCCAGGACCTTGAGACTGACTGAGGTCCAGGGATGTGACATACTAGTATGACAAATGGTAGCTACTCTCATCACCATGCCCTTTGGCCACATGTGCTCTAGGGCTTGATGACAATGTGATCTAGCCTGACCTAGACAACATTGAGATTCAGCCTGTCAGTTCATTGCTGAACAGTGATTATGGAACTGGCTGTGTCTGGGGTGGAGCTGAGCTGCCTCCTTCTGGAGGCAGCTTCAGAGACGAGGCACGTGGGTCGGGAGTCCTTTGCTGAGGCTCCAGGGAAGAGCACTGGGGCAGGCCTGGTGGTGTCTGTGCTCCTGGCCCTGCCCCAGTGTTTGGTGGTGGTGGAGTCAGGCAGCCTGGTGTCAGGCTGGGGACCCCAGGCCATGATGGATGCTAGAACCCCTGGGGCCCCTGGGCTCAGGGCAGGCAGCCCCTTCCCTTGACAGGGGAGTGGCTCCCAGCCTTCATTCAAGGGAGAGGGTTAGACTAGGTACCATAACTATGGATGTGCCTCCTCCATCGCCATGCAGGAACAGAGCTGTTACTGCCATCTTGCCTGTTCCTAGCCCCTCCCTGCCTCGTGCCCAGTGTTGCTTAGCGTTCCGGTGGGGAGATGGAGCCAGTGTCAGGAGGTTCAACCGCTGACTCGTCTTAAACTGACCCCGAGGTTGTAGAAGGAAGGGCCCAGCAGGCTGTGTGTAGGAACTGCCCTGCTATGGAGCAATCCCGGGATGGCTCTGGTGAGGATGATGGCAGTGTACCCAGAGAGCAGAGGGTTCGAATGCTTCCCAGCGCGCCCGGCTCCTCCGAGCCGCCTGGCCGCACAGCAGAGCACCTCTGATAAAGTTGCCTTCCTGGAATTGGGATTAATGTCGAACTTGCGCTTAAAATCATCTAGAGATACGTTATTACTCTCATAGTTAAAGACAAATAAACAGATTTAAAAAATAAACATCTGTAACACATTGTGACACGGCGGTGACAGGAGGTTTGGGCACATCCTCAAGGAGTGTCTGTTCGACAGCCTCTGCCCCGCCTCCAGGCCCTGCCAGCTGTGAAACTCCAGCTCTTCTTGTTTTTCTAACAAAGTAGACACTGATTTAGACACACTCTTTAATATCTGAGAGCTAAGAGTCCCAAATTAAAATGTGTAAAAAAAAGTGTTTTTTAAAAAATTTAAAGTGTTAAAAACTTATCCAATAAAAATAGGTAAGCTAAACAAATTCTGAGTAAAAAAGGTAAATTTACATGTATAGGAATGTGCACATTGTCGCTCCTTCCTGACAGGGCCAGTGCTTGGCTCTCTTCAGCGGTTCCTGCATTCCGGCATCCTCCGTAGTTAAATAGCCTACAGCATTTGTGCAGTTTTGCTGCTCATTAATTTCCTAAGAGCCTGACAGTCTGGATTTCATTGTTCGTACAGAAGCAGTTTTTTTTTTTCCTTTTTCTCCCCAACGCCCCCTGGTACATAGTTGTATATTCTTAGTTGTGGGTCCTTCTAGTTGTGGCATGTGGGACGCTGCCTCAGCGTGGCTCGATGAGCAGTGCCATGTCCGCGCCCAGGATTCGAACTGATGAAACACTGGGCCGCCTGCAGTGGCGCGCACGAACTTAACCACTCGGCCACGGGCTAGCCCCAGTTTTTTCTTTATACTTCTTTGTCATGAGGCTCCTGGAAGGACAGTCTCAAAGGCCTTGCCCTCTGTAGTTTTGTCCCTACAGGAGAAGAACATGATCTATTTTGTCATTATCCAGGCCAGGCAGGGGGTGGTGAGAGTCTGCAGAGGGATGGGCCAGGCCATGTTTGCTGAGAGCCGAGGGGACCCAAGCCATGGTCCTACCCAGCAATGGGAAGTCCCACCTCATGTCCTACTGTAAAGCTCTTTGCCGGGAACAGGGAGTGAACTTTTCTCTTGTATTGGTTAAGCTCCAAGGACCAGGGCATGTTTGGGGAATTTAAGTGAGCATGGCCAGGTACAAAGTAGCTGCACTTTCCCCGCCAGATTCCAAACTGTCCATCTCCACACTTATCAGATGCAGCAGCGACCCAGAGCTGGAGTCTCAGGGGAGTGGGTAACACTGGTGAGAATGTGCACTTCTGGACTGTCAAGCACACGTGTCAATATTCCCACACAGAATCCTATGTCGCGGGTGTTTGTAATCCAAAGGTCTGGATCCAAATCCTAGCCCTACGTCTTGGGAGTCTGGCTTTGAAATGTCACCTAACAGTTTTCTGAGCCCCTTTCTTCACTTGTAAGGTGGGAAAATCAGGCTTACTTATCTCAGTGGGGAGTTGTGAGAATCATCTGTGGAACTGTGTATGGGCCGATAAGCTTTCATGGTTGGTAACGATGGTGTGCTTCTGAGGGAATGTGACTTCTTGAATCCGGTATCTTCCTAATACATCCCTAGTCCTGTAAGTCACGGCTGGTTCTTTTTCGGCTTGTACAACAAGTGAAATTTGGCCTTGGGTTCCTGAAAGTATGAATGCGTTCTTGGACTCTCCCAGTTTTATAAAAGATGGCTCAAACTTTCCCTTGTCTATTTACCCAACAGCGTGCCGTGTAAAAAGTGCGTGGTGGTTGGTAATGGAGGAGTTTTGAAGAATAAGACTTTAGGAGAAAAAATTGACTCCTATGATGTAATAATAAGGTAAATCTATTTCTTATTTGCTAACCTGAAATTGTTTCTAAGAATATGGTTTCCTACTTTAGTCGAGCTTTGTTTTAGAAGGAGGAGATGCTGCTTTGATGTGTGTACGTACATTACACAACCTTGTCTCCCAGTTGTTGGCCAGAGGAGGCCTAGCTTTCAGGTCATTCATTCAGCAAATATTTATGAAGTCCTCTTGATGGGCCCGGCACGGTCACAGCCACGGGGGACGGACCATGAACAAGAACAATGTTCGTGTTCCTTGTTGGGATTCCATTCTAAGGAGGGGAAGAAAACAGTGATTAATTAAATAAGGAAATATAATAACAAATGCTATGAAAACAATTAAAACATAACAACAGGAAATGATTGAGTGGCTACTTTAGAATGGCTGACCACTTTGAGGAGGAGACATCTAAGCTGGACTGAAGTGACCCCATAGTCCCAGCCGTATGAAGGCTAGGGAAGAGCAGCCCAGGCAGAGAATGCTTCCTGAATGGTCCTGAGTTTGAGAGGAGCAGCAAGAAAACCAGTGACGTAGGAGGGCAGCTGGCTGGGGACAGTGCTGCGAGCCAAGCTGAAGAGGTGGGCAAGGAGTGGGCCGTGTGGGACTTTGTAAACTAGCATTAGAGCTTAGATTTTATTTTATGTACACTAGGAAACTTCTGAGGACTTTTTAAGCAAGAGAGAAATTTCATCTGGTTATATCTTTAAAATATTCTGGCTGCAGCATGGACAATGGAATATGAGGGACAAGGGTGGAAATGAGGAGGCCAGGCAGGTGGCCGTATTCAGGTGGATGATGGTGGGTTGCAACAGGATTGTCCTGGCAGAGAGGAGGCAGGTGGATAGAGTGAGACATGTTCTTGAGGTAGACTTACCAGGATTTGTTGATGTATTAGATGTGAGCAGAGAGGGGGGATAAAGGAACTGAGGATACCTCCTCTAGCTTTTCAGCTTAGGAGACTGGCCAGAGAGTGGTACCATTTATTGAGCTGGGGAAGACTAGGGTAGGAGCAGGTTTAGAGGAGAATTAAGATTTCTGTCTGAATGTGTTAGATTTGAGATGCTTAATAGATTTGCAGTGGATAAGTCGAGTAGGCAGTTGGATAAACAAGTTAAGGTCTTGATAGTGAGCAGCCTGTAAGCTGTTTTTTAAACCATAGACTGGGCAAGATCTCCCAGGAAGAGACTGAGAGAGAGAAGAGGGTCCAGGACTGAGCCTTGAAGTGCTCAAAGCTTAGAGGCTGAGCAAAGGAAAAGGAGTAAAGAGATGGAGAGGACCCACCAGTGAGGTGGTGGACCACCGTCAGTGACTGAGTCAGGAGAAGGCAATCACAGAAGCCAAGAGGGCACAGTGTTTGAAGACAGGAGGGGTCAACCATGTCCACTGCTGGTGAGAGGCCATGCAAGATCGGGAACAGAGTTCACCACTGGGTTGGCAACCTGAAGCTCCTTGATTCTCTCAAAAAAACAGACTTGGAGATATGAGGTGGGAGAAGCCCAGCTGGTGTGGGTTGAGGAGAGAATGACAGGCGAGAAAGTGGAGAAACCAGTACAGGCAACTCTGTTGAGAAATTTTGCTGTAGAGTTGAGAAATGAGAAGGCAGCCCGAGATGGTATGGAATCAAAGGAGGATTTTCTGTTTTGTTTCCTTTTATAAAGATAGGAGATTCTGGAGCATGCTGTAAACTGATGGAACTGAATAAAGAGATTAGCGGTAAAGAGAGGGGACGGGCTCCAGAGCACAAGTGTGGTTGACTCTCTGTAATGGGATTGTGGTTACAGCTACCAAGAGTCCCATAGATGGAGTGGTGGGGCAATGAGGACATTTCTATCCCTGTTTTCTCACTGAAAGGTTGAAGTCAGGTCATCATCTGGGGTAAGTTGTGTGTGTTGGAAATGCCTATGAATTGTCTTTTGAAGAGTGCAAAACCTTCCCACTGGGGCAATGCATTAGGATGACTCGGCATTGCTTGGGGGTTTTGCTGGGTTACAAGCTGCTGAGGGTTTCTGCACAGCAAGGTCACCTTATTTTCTGTTTATTATCCATTTTGAGGAAGCTGTGAAAATTTATCACAAAACAGTTTGGAAGCACTCAGAAATTTCTTTACCTTTGGGTCTAAAATCTGATCACCCAGAACCGCAGCACGTCCTTATGGGAAATTGCCGCGGGCACATTATGAAAGCCATCTCAAGTGTTAAGTCTGTCTTATATTATATAGAGTCAGCAGCAAAGGGTAAAACAGGATTTATCCTCCTAGGGGACACTGTTTGGGAAACAAAGCATTTCTTTTAATAGCATGTATGCCTTGATAGCATGTGCATAAACAGTGTGTGTCTGACCTTGGCTTTGAGCATATTCAAACCCAACAGTAAATCCTTTGTGGTTCTTTAGTTCATTCTAGCAATAGACATTCATTTGGTTCAGCTTTAGGTATAACAGCAATTTTACATTGTTACTTTATTTCAGAGCACAGTAATTGTGATGGGTCTTCAAATCACCTTAAATGTGATTCTTGCTGGTCAGTCACTTACACACATGTTCATGTGCTACATGACTGTGTCACCTTGAGCAAGTAACTATCTCCCTGGACCTCAGGGCCCTTCTCTGTAAATCCAAGGGGTTCTGTCTGGTGTCCTCCAAGGTCTCTCTTAACTTCACTATTCTGGGGTTCTGTGTTCCTGTTTATTTAGTCTTCAGTTTTCCTGGAGTTAAGACTCAATTATCAGTGGCTCCTCAATTAATTTTCAAATACAAACGAAAGTTTCTGCCTTTGATGCAACAGCTGTTTCATGGAAGGGAATTATTGCCTTGGTCCTTACGCGTGAAAGGCTGACGGATGCCTTTTGGATTGGGAGCACTGGGTGCATGGCTGATGGTGTTGGTCCAGCTCTGGAGCCTCTGAGAACAGTGATGGGAATGGCTCATCCTGCCCCTCGTCTACATATCTTGTGTTTTCCTACCCACAGAATGAATAACGGTCCTGTTTTAGGACATGAAGAGGATGTTGGGAGAAGGACAACCTTCCGACTTTTTTATCCAGAATCTGTTTTTACAGATTCCAATCACAGGGATCCTAACACCACGGCGATTCTCACTGCTTTTAAGCCACTTGATTTAAAGTGGCTGTATGATTTGCTGATGGGTAGCAAAATAGTAAGTTGGCAAAATTGATCTGCCTTCCGATTACCTTCAGTTTTTTCTTCTATGGACAGAAGACAACCACAATCTTCTACTTTCTATATTCTTTCTTTATTTCAGGATACTAAGGGGTTTTGGCAGAAACCAGCCTTAGACTTGATCTACAAACCTTATCAAATCAGAATATTAGATCCTTTCATCACCAGAACAGCAGCTTATGAACTGCTTCATTTCCCAAAAGTGTTTCCCAAAAATCAGGTACGTGTTTTCTTTGCACAGTTGGAAACTAGAGATCTGGCTGGGGCGGGATGGAGGGTCTCCCAGGCTCTTGGTAACTGTATGAGCCATTGCTCATGAGGAGGTTTCTGAGGGCCGCGTCTGAGTTAGTGAAATTAGATACCTGTGGATCTTTATGTTTTTCAGGTTGTGAGGAAAAGAACCTTAAGTGAAGGGGGTTTTCTGCCCCCGTGAGGCCCTCCTGGGGTCTCCTGCATGCCCAGTGGCTCAGCCCTCGTAACCTCGTCTTCACTGTTCTGCAGCGAGGAGGATCTGACTAGGGGGTGACGGGCAGGCTGTGCGCAGAGTAGCGGGACTGGCTTCAGGACAAGTGCAGGGCTGGTCTGGCTAAACAGAACTGTCTGGAGCACTCTGGTGAAAATATCACAGGAAAGCCAGAGGAAAGGTGAGGAAGGATGATGAGGCAGTCCAGAGATATTTCTGTGGTCGTAGAGGAGACACTGGCA